TTGGCCGAGCAAGGGGCGGGGAAGTCCGACCATGGCCGCGAACGACAAAAAACGGAGGCACGTTTTGATGGCGTCGCGCAGGCCGCTGCATTGGCCGCGTCTAACCGAGCCTTGCGCGCCAGAGCAACGCCAGCTGGGCCTCGCAATTACCGACGAGGATCTCGGAGAGAAAACACCGACCTACCGCCGCCAGGACGACTGGGGATGATGGAAAGGACTTCCCCCGACCACGCGCATTTACCCAGGCCGAGGTCAAGCAGTTGTTGAGGCCGGCGGTCGAGGCTTCTTGGTGCGAGGCCCAGGCGCGCGTCGCAATCTGTGCGTAGGGGCAGTCGTCGTCCGCGAGATCGGCTCAGACGCGACGGCCACGCATGCTGCGATGGCCTTCGTCGCGTGCTCACCTTCGGGAAACCTGCTGCGGCGTGTGCGGATGACCTCGGCGAGTAGACTCTCGCCGAAGGGGTCTTTCATCAGGAACCTACTTCCAGAGTGAGACTGCGGTGGCAGTGCGCCTGGCTGAGAGCGCCCGCAGGCTGCCCGCCGCCATTGCGTTGATAGTTGCGCGCGTCTTCGTTGACGTCGATGCCGCTCCAGGGTTCCATTTGACGGTGCAGACCTCTGCGTGCGCAGCATCGTTAACTGCATTCGCGCGCGAATCGTCCAATGCCCCAAGTCCTCGAAGCCTTTGTCGGCGTTCTACGGACGGAAATTTGCCCATTGTCGAGGGGCCGGTGGGCGTGCCGCCATCGAGCGGGCGCGCCCAGGAGGGGCAGCCGCGAGCCTTTCCTGCCGCCCACGTTTGCCGATTCCATGGGGCCCTGGAAGATCTGGAGGCTGACCGCGCAGGTCACAGCTGAGACGCATGGTGCGCGTAGAGCGACGTGGGAAGGGGGCCCGTCGAGAACGTCCCATTGCAATGCCGAAATACTGCACCCGCGGAGATGATCACCGAGAACAGCGCGCTGGTGATAGTGTCTGGCGGAGAGCAAGGCAACTTGCAGAAATAAGGGGGGCTACCGACGCGCGATGTTGAGGGGGCGCGTCGCGTGAGCTGCGCGCAGTCGACTGCGGCCGCGGTCTTGACGCGGGCGAGCGTAGTCAGTATTTTGAACCCTGCCTCGCCGCGAACGCGCCCGATGCCATGCTGACGGAGCAGTAGCGCGAACTACTTAACGGTTGCCATGCAGCTACGATGCGAGTGCACGCGTCCGCTGCATCAGGGGAAGCCGTCGCCGTCGAGGAAGGGGGCGTCGCGGTTCGATGGCTGGGCCCATGCGCGCGTGCCAAGATGTCCAATGTCTGGCGCGCGGACCTTGAGATTTGGTTCCACATCTGTTGCTCCCGCGCACAGGGGGTTGGGAATTCGTCGAAGAGCATGGCGCAGGGACGCGCGCGTGCATCCAGTTTCTTGCGTGCGACGAAAGGCGAAAGGGGATATATTATCAGGCGACGCGCCTCGCACTTCGATCATTCATGAACTTCGAGGCCTGCGATGTGGAGACCTTTCTCTGCGCTGCTTGGCTAGCCAGTGACTGCTTGCTAGCGTGGCCGCGCGCGCAAAGTCGCGATTAATCGCGCCCATGGGCATGGATGAGGTTCTTTTGAGTGGCCTGGCCCATCGCGAGTTCGCCGCCGTCGCTGGCGAGCGAGAGCAAGCGGCGTGCTTCGCGCTGCCGCCCGGCTCAGCTTCGGTTCCATGGGCGCTGCTTGGCTATGCGTCGACGACGGATCGCGCTGCTGTTTGCAGCGCCTTTAGCCAGGGGCAGGCGCCCAAGGCGCCCCTTGGGCGCCCTCGCGAGACTTTGCGACCCTCGCGCGAGGCTCTGCTCCCAACCCGAGTTATTGCGACGAAGGCCCGAAGCGAGCCCGAATTTCTTCAGGCCGTGCGCGCAGACGACGCGCGCGTGGCAGGTGTCGAGGGCACCTTTGCCAAGCGCGTCCGGCGCGCGGAAGGCGCGCGCGAGCTCAGCGGGCGCAGCTGCGCGAATTGCTCCGCGCGACGCGCCGAGACCGGGGGCGGCCGCGCCCGCCGTGACCACCATGAATATGTACGACAGATTCGCCTTATACAGCACCCGGGGCAGACTGGGGCAGAAGCAGAAGGGGGACCTTTGGAATCTGCGTCAAAACTGATCATTGGTTAACGTGGCCAGTTAGCACGGTCCATCAACGAACGCGCGGCGGGTGGCGCGCGCAGTCTTTCCGCGACGCGCCCAAGAACCGAGGAACGTGAAAGCGCGGCGACCCAGCGCCGCAATGCTAAAACTACAGCAAGGCCCTAGGAAGTCACGTGCCAAGCAATGGCCCTGACAGGTGAAGTGGACTCACAAAGCGGCTTTAGTTACCGCCGGCTCAACGGCGACGCCTGCGACGAAGTCAGGGGGCGCGACGTCCGAGGTGCCGATTTACTACTGCGTGGGCACCCGCCGAACGGAAAGGCGGCTGCCCGCATTGTAGATGCACTATATAAGTCGCATCGGCTACAAATTCGTTCCGTCCATTCAGATGAGACTCTAGTGCCTCCCATGATCTGGATGACTGCGACCCAACCATCGCCGCGCAGCACGAGCTGAAGGCTGGGCCATATACTCCGACACAGCTCCGAAACCTATTCATAATGGGTGGCCGATGCATCAAGGCAGTACATACTCTTGATGCCAAACGTATCCTCATGTCATAACCTAGCAACGATCTCACGGATCCCGCAGAGCGCACCCATCGTTGCCGCATCATTTGGATTCGTCAAGGGTGGGGGAGGGTATCGTGCAAAGTACGCAGTGGCGATGCGCGTAATATGACTGCCGAATGAGATACCAAGGATTGTATTTCGAATCGCCCCTACAGGTGATGGCGGGTAATCAGTCGTTCAAGCACGAGGTAAAGCGATGCATGCCGCACAGGTCAACCAGGCCGCCACTTCTGAGCCTGCCCGAGAGCGGGCAGGCGGATGAGGCGCGCTGGCCGGCGTGGCCGCATGCTTGCTGTAGCCCAGCCGCGTGATATTCGTTGTGGCGTTTGGATTGTCGGTTCCATGTTGGGACCTTTCGCTTAGTCCCGGCTCAACTTCGTTCCTGTTTTAAGGTGCTCGGTGCGTGGCGGCCCGCCGGGCGCCGAGTGAATCTTTGGGGGGTTCTATTCAGCGTTGGGTAACCTTCTCGCAGATTCAAAAAGTATGCCCGTTGCATCGCCGCTGTATTGTCGCTGCGAGGGCCGTTGAATTTGCGCGCGTATTGTAGCTCGACGAGGCCCTTTGCTCGACTCCCCCCTGCCTGACTTTGAACGGAGGTCAAAGGCGAGTTTGCGAGCGACTTGCCCGCGTCTGCCGCCGCTTGGGCCCAGGTGGTTCGCTTCAGACATTTGACTACACCGATCTCGGGGCACAGTCGCATCCGAACAACCAACAAAGTCCTCCAGATCCTTTGACGAAGTACTCTCTCGTCCCATCTTTATCTATCATCTACCCGCTCATGCAAGCGCCCCCGGATGGCGACAATAAGCCCGCCAGAATACTTGACGGCCTCGAAACGTTTGGCAGATTTTGGCGTTCCCGCTCATTCGCCCCAAGGGGGCCAAGACTCTCCCAACATCGCCATAAGACGGCCCGAGGTCACGCCAGGCGCCCCGGGGGTCACGCACGGGGGGCGCCCTGGGACGCACGGTGGAAGTCCTCTGAATTGGGCTGCCTGCTACTTAAAGCGTCAATTGTTCACTGTAGCCAGAATTCCAGAAAACCCGGAGGGATCTGAGGACGCTGTACTCAGTGCTCAGTGTCTGCGGCATTGTGGCGGGTCTATCGCCGGTCTTCGGGAGATGTGTTGGGTGCTGTCGTTCGAGCGTGGGCGACATTGTCTCTGAAAAGAGGCACCCGGGTTTCCTGCTTACGATTGTGTGCCATTGAAGACACCCGAATAGCAACGCCTGTTCCTGCCTGCCCCCGCTCCCGCTCAAGATGTTTCATACATGCGTGAACCACACTCTGGTTGCATTCTCTTAACAAGTGACAGTTGCAGCTCAGGGGTCAGGCTTTGGGCACTCAAGAGTCATACTCTCGATTGCGATTTTCCCACTACTTCCACCAATGCTCGAATCACGCAGGAGTCGCGTTCTTGCTGTTCGGCTCCACGCCATTTCACTTCGGATTGCGCTCTCGCCGTTCAGAGACCGTTGTCTTACTTCGTCGAATCCCAACAAAGAAGCTGTAACATTTCTCAAGCCTCAAGCCCCTGACCCCTGCAGCTCCAACCGCGGACCCTGTCCCTTTTTCCCTCATCCTTTTACCCCCATTCCTCCCTTTTTCTTCCATCCCCTCCGCATCCTTTGCACCTCTTCCTTGCGTGAGGCCTATGCTTTGCTGTATCACGCTTTGTCTTAAACTTCTGGGGTGCACCCAGGAGGGGCACATCTCCTTAAAAGGGGTTACGTTCAAAGAATTTGAGGACGGGTAACAAGAAACGGGCGCAGCACATGGATGCCAATGATGAATGTGTCTGATGAGGGTGATGGTGATGAACCGGATGACGATGTTCAGAGCAGTCTTGGCATGTTTGCGCATCTGTATGTGAGTATGTATATAGGTGTATGTAACTATGTGTGAATATTCATGCGGGCCTGTAGTCAGACAGAGAGCGATACTGAGCGAGAGAGAAAGAGAGAGACAGAGAGAGAGAGAGAGAGAGAAACAAACAACGAGTTTGGAGAGGGAGATCAATCGAGAGAGAAAGAGAGAAACAACGCGCGAAAGAGAGAACACATTCCTATGCAGAGAAAGAGAGAGAGAGAGACCACGCCTGCTCGACCGCGGCCTGTGCATGCGAAGTTGTTCCAGTGGTAAGCTCGATGTAAAAAAACGCTCAGCATGAATGGGATACGCATGGCGATGACGATGGTGAGCGAGGATGAGTATGGTATCGATGAGGATGGTGGTGAGGACGAGCTGTATCACTTGTTGTCAGGTGGTTCCGCTCTTACATAGTCACTTTATGCGCAGGGGGGTAGCGGAGGCACACACGAGAATTTGGAGCATTTGGCTCTGATGGACACTTCCCCGCGCCGTCCGCGGATTGAGTGAAAGAGGGCATTGTGAGATTTCGACACTTCTTGACGATTTGTGTATTCTCACCTGTCGATTCAGAATCGATTCACAGGGAAACAAAAGAGGGGAGACACAATTCAGTTCAAAGGAGTGATCAGTCAATGGAGGACCCTGTCGGGGGCAGCGTTGGGGGACAAGTTGTTCGCAGGCTTTCATCAGCTTACAAATGGGGCCCATGCCAAGAAACACCCTGCTGGCCTCCAGGGTGCCCTGGGTATCTTGGGTTTCGGTGGTTTCGCCATGGAAAGCGTGACGTTCCCACACGAAAAATCCGTGAACGTCCTGGGGTCTCAGGGTTGGGTTTCTCGTGGAAGGTTTCTTGTGGTCGGGCCCTCACTGCACCCAGCCACATCTCTGTGCTCATCTCGTGCGCGCAGCCGTCGGAGACTCGCCTATGTGGCGCCGGCTGCCTCCAGCGCCCATCCGCTTGTGACATCATCTCTGCGCCTCCCGCCCCTCTCGCCTGCTTCGCCTGCGCTCCCCTCCCTTCCCTCCTCCGCCTCCGCTTCTCGTTCCTCTTACCCCTCTCCTCCCCCCCCCTTGCTACTTCTCTTCGTCGCTCTGTCACCCTTTTGGCCCATGGCCGGTTTGTAGGTCTCGGCTCGAGCTTCCGTTCTTCCCGTCTCCTTCCGCTCTCTGGGGGCGTTGCGAGTGCGAAGAGCGGGCGGGAAGCCACCAGCCGCGGGCGCTCTGGACGGTCCTTGAATGAGAGCTGGATGATGAGCTCGTGGGCCAAGGCAGGACGCGTTTCTTGCAGCGGCACGTCGACGGTCGCCTCGGGTACCACAGTCATAGGACAGGATATATCCTTCGTGCTGTGGACATAGTTTTGCTAGCCAATCAAGGCAAGACTCGAGGTGACCAATCTCGATTGGTGGCCCAATTGCTGTTGACTGTTGATTGATGTGGTATTCGTGTCCAGTGGAGCATTCCGGTATCCACTTTTGTGCTCTCTGCAGCCACTGGCCTAGGGTGCGTTGCAGGTGTAGATCCGTGCCGTGCTACTTTGAGTATTTCCCAAGCAGGAAACCGAGGCAACACATTCCGATACCGAGAGACGTGCGTGAGGATGAGGTGGGATAGGAACGCCCCTGGGGGAGACGACTCCACAGGTACAGGCTACCATAGAGAATCACGCAGTGCCAGGTGCCACTGCTGACGGTAAAGTGGCGAGCCCGAGAGCTTTATTTTGGACACATACGGCCGGCGGGCTGTGAGCGACCGTAGTCGCCAGTCCGGGGACGTCGATTTGAACATCGATTTCTTCTCGGCCGATCTTGAAAACGAGAGCTGAACTCTGTGGCTCGATAGTGTGACTATGCTGTCGTTCGCGTATCTAGTCTTCGCCCCTTGACCGTATTCATCCCCCTCGTCGTCATGGTCTTTCTTCAACTTCGTCGTCGTTCTTGTCGTCGTTGCTGTCCTCGTCGTCTTCCCCGTCACACTCCTCGGCCTCGTCCCAGCAAGGGTCTGGTTCGGGCTGGTACGGGCCAGTCCAACGGCGGGCTAGTTCGGTTGCAGCGGTTCGGTTTCGGCGCCGATCCAGTTTGAGCCAGTCCGATTTGGCCTCGGGACGGTTTGGTTCGGGGCGGTTCGCTTTGAGTGACCGTGAGGTCGGCGCGCCAACGAGTACGTCGCAGTTGTTGCATGTTGCGCCCGCAGATCGAACCAAGGAAAAAAAGGAAGAGAGGGATGGGGAGGAGGAGGAGGAGGAGGAGGAGCGACGGCGGCGGCGACGACCACAGCGTATCGACCCAGACATCTTACGTTGCGAGTTTCTCACGCTGGGGCCCCCAGAGGTCTGGACATTCTCCCCTGGGCCGGCTCTTCATCCCGAGTCGTTTTTCAACGGTCCTGGGGCCCAGCGAGGCCCCCCAGAGGCGGAAAATTATTACGAAAAACCTCGGTCGTTGGGAGGAGAATTGGGGACGGCGTGATCGCCGAGGGCGGGGCACCACTGTAGTGCCCGTCCGAACCCCCTGGTCCGGACGAGGGTGGGTCTGGACTGGGAGGTCGGGATCCAGGCGACCTGGCCAAGGGTTCGGACTCGGGGGGCCTGGACCTGGGGGTCCAGATCCGAACTCGGGGGGGTTCAGGTCCGGACCCGGGGGCCCCGACCCTCCTTGGTCGAGACACCCCACGCAGTCGACCCTGCAGCAGTTGGTCCGGACCGGGTCCGGACGGGGGGGTCCGGACCCGGGGGGCTGGATTTGGGGGGTCCAGGTCGACCGGCCGCCAAAATCCGGACCCAGGTCTTCTGGAGGTCCAGGCCGGGGGATCTGGACCGGGGTCCAGACCCGGCGAGGTCCAGGCCGGGGGGCTTGGACCTCGGGGGTGACAACCCCCATGGGTCGAGAGTCCCGACCCGGGGGTCCGGACGCGGGGGTCTGGGCCGCAGGGTCCAGACCTCCTCCTCCTCCTCCTCCTCCTCCTCCTCCTCCTCCTCCTCCTCCTCCTCCTCCTCCTCCTCCTCCTCCTCCTTCGGGAACCGGGGCCAGACCCAGGGGGTTCGGACTGGGGGGTCCTCTGGACCGACCCACTGCAATGATCGCCCCCCCTTGCTGAAGTTATGTATGTTATAATGGTTATGCACTACTAATAGCATGTTTATTTGATCTCTAATTTAGCTTTATTTAGCATTATATTTAGTATTTTATTAAGAAGTAATAACATCAAATAGTGTGCTTATTCATGTTAAAATAAAGCAAATAGCGCCGCTATTTTTCACTATTTCGGAAGGGAGGGGGGGGGCTGGAGAGAGAGGGGCGGAGGAGGGAGAGGGGAAGAGGGGGGGGGCGGGAGAAAGAGGACGGGCGGGAGGAGCGGTAGACCAACCGCTATGCGAGGAGCGGTAGACCAACCGCTATGCAAGCAAGTAGGGGTAGACAACCGCTGGCAAGCGGTAGCCCCACCGCTGAGGGAGGAGAAAGGACAATGATGATGTTCTTTTTCCAGCGCAAGGATGTTTTTTGCACCACATCACCAGGCAAGAACGACCACGCCATCTCCATCCCAGGAAAAGCCTGCTGACAAGACCACGTCGCAGTCGGCCAATAACACCAGAGAATAAGAACCTCCTGGCGCGCTCCTCCAGCGAGAAGCGGCTGGCGACACCTGCTCCACAAATACCATCTCGTCGACGACAATGACGGGCGCGGTGTCCAGAAAGGCGCAGCCAGCCACGATGCATACAACGCCGTCGCACCAGACAGCGTCTCCAGCCGCGAGGGTTGTCCCGCGAAATTTCATAGAACCGCTCATGGAGGCAGACGAAACGCCCGCCGCTCTGGCCAACGTCGGCGAGCTCTCTGGCTTGTGCAATCGGTCCAGAAAAAAATCAGCATCGGCCAGGGCTCCAAGGCGATCGGCCAGCACGCGACTCAGAATTGATTTTTCCAACGATCTCGTATTCTTAACAGACTGGGCGCAATTCTTCATGATACAATTCTGGCGTTCGCCCACGAAACAATCGATGCTGTACCCATCTCGGCGTAACTGGTGCGCAAGGTGAGAGCCCCAATGAGCTTTAGGGATAACGTCACCTTTAGGATAAGCGTCATTGAAAGCTTCGGCGTGCTCGGCGAACATCGCGTCGAGGCCACTCGCAGTGGAGCTGACGTCCCTGCCAAATTTACCTTGCTTGAGAAACCCACAAATCAGCGCAAGAGAATTGAAACTACGAATCTCTTTGTCCAGAATACCACAGGGCTTCACCACGCAATGCAAAAAATAATTGAAGAGCGGAATAATCATGATCAGCTCGGACGCCCCAGCTTTAAACTCTTTGTTCTTCTGGAAAGCTTTCTGCCGAGCGTCGTTCCATGCCGCCTTGAGTTCCGCAGACGCCCCTGAGAAAGCGCCGCAAAATTTCCAATTCGATTCCATCCACGTGCGTACGCCGCTCCATGAAAGCCAGCTGTGCCGAAACATTGCTACCAAAATCAAAGACATCTCTAAGCATGCCATGCCGTTCAAGATGTGCATGGCGTCGTGGGTGGATGTCCGTATCGGCGGGCAGTGCGGCCTGAGCTCGTGATCGAAAATCACACCCAAAGGGACGCGCTTAATTCCTCTAGCTGTTTGCCCAGCCTGCAGATGTCTCGGTGCCAACGCAAGAACCTCGTCAGCCTTCTGCCAGATGTCGCCGTCTGTGGCGCGCGAAAACAAAGATGGGGATGAGCAGCGGAGACCAACGAACCCCCGTGGCATTCGAACAGCATCGCCGCGTAGCTGCAGTACGTTGAGGCAATTCATGCATGGCAGATTGGCATTGGCCCCAAGCTGCGAAAATACAATCCTGGCGGCGTCGCCGTCGAGGACCAGGTTGCCGAGTTTGAAATACATAGCTGCTGTTCCAGAGGCGGCCGCGTCCAGCTGTACCAACACGCCCTTTGTAGAAATTTCATCTTCGATGAACATTCGTCGCAAAAAAGTTCTGACTACATTCGAGGCGCCCCCTTCGATCTGTTTCGCCACAGTGGATCGGATGCAAATGACTGGCAACCAGGCTTCAACATGCTTGGTGATGTGGGGGCCGAACTCTCTGATAGTCACGAACATGCCGAAACACTTTCTTCGGTTGTCCTGCCTGAGGACATTACCTGGTACGAATTCATCTGCGTAACACACGAGGTGGTATGGCGACTCGGCAGTGCAAGGGCGTTGTCGCCACAACTCGTTCAGGAGGGAGGCGTACCCTGGCGCAGTGCGGGCTGCGAGCTGCAGAACTTTAGGCAACGAGAGCGTGGCGCCGAGTTCCATGCCCCGTGTGTGTGCCGTGCATTCGAAATGCTCCAGCTGGCATGTTTGTTTCCACAAATCGTCGAGGGCCCGCTGCAGGTGGCCGCGATTGCAGGCAAGAGCAGCCTCCCTGTCAGCTTCGTCAGCGGTTCGCAATCTCTGCAGTAGCTCCGAGAGTTGCGTATGGTTCCTCGACAATCCTG